AACACCTCCATTGGGAGATATTGTTTCTCCATATCAGGTACATCCTCCCTCCTACTCCTCTTGGTTCAGATCTGATTTGGTTCATGGTTCAAGATTGATCATTGAAAATTTGTTTTCTAAAATAGGGAATTTGATTCCCTGCACAGATGGGAGAATTTTTTTTTTGAAATTCGCCCAGTCCATTCCGCAAGACTTGGGCGTCCATGTGATGGATATCCCATCCCTTCAGCTTAATGACGAGGGAGAGGAGACCGGTGCTGTCGATGACCATATGGAGGTAGATCCTCTTGCTGAAGTCTCCACTAAGGATGAAGAGCCCCAAACAAATTGAAGCCTCTTTTCTTGGAACCCCCCCTCTTTTGTAATGCTCAATGTTCCGAGCCTCCGAGCTCGGTTAATTGTAATCTTTCTCTTCTTTTTCTCTTTTTTTTTTGTACTTGAAGTTCTTTATCAATGAAATACAAGTGTTTTGCAATCTTTGTGTGCAAATTTTTCTAAGTGTAGATTACTCCCGAATTAGCGAGCTAAACCAAATATGAGTGAAATTTTTTCTAAGTATAGATTACTCCCTAGCTGACGAGCTAAACCAAATAGGAGTGAAATTTTTTTTAAGTATAGATTACTCTCGAGCTAGCAAGCTAAACCAAATAGGAGTGAAATTTTTTCTAAGTATAGATTACTCATGAGCTGGCAAGCTCGACACTAGTAGGAATAATCTAATCATCATTGTATGCCTGGGTGAACATACACTGTAGGGTACATACCTGACCTGTTTGTGCCTAGGCCACTTTGCTTTGCCCATGCCAAAGCGACTGGGTTTTAAACTACCTATGCCGAAGAGGCGACTATGACTTTTATCGTGCCAAAGTCTATTATTAGCTTGGCACCATAGCCCTTAGGCTTTTGGGTGTGGCTTATGGTCCTCTCTCCAGCTCGTTGTCTATTTGACCAATTTAGTGATTTCATGAGTGACTTATACTTGGAGTTGTGAACTCATACATAGTACATTCTTAAGTTGTCGATGTTCCATGCTCGAAGTACCAGCTTCCCTTCCAAAGTCTCGAGCTCGTACATGCCTTCCCCGTACACCCGTCTTATACGGTACGAACCTTCCCAGTTCGGTTTGAGCTTACCCATGCCGGGCTTAGCTTTTTTTTTTCGTAATCAAGCTCAAGCTTTCTCAAAAAATATGGCTTAAGCTTGAGCTTGGCTCATCAAGCCCAATGTTGAAGTTGGGCTTTGAGCCTTATATGAGGATTTGGCTCGAGCTCAAGATCTATGCCGATGGTTGAGTTGTGTTTAAGCTTGGGCCCAACAACACTAAGCTTGACTTTTTTTCAAGTCGGGTTCAAACTTTCTTAAAAACCTAGCTTAAGCTTGAGCTCGGCCCTTCAAGCCCAATTTTGAAACTAGGCTTTGAGCCTTATATGAGGGTTGGGCTCGAGCTCATGATCTAGGCCAATGGTTGAGTTGTGTATCTCGGGCCCAAAAGCACTAAGCTTGACTTTTTTCCAAGTTGGGCTCAAGCTTTCTCAAAAACATGGCTTAAGCTTGAGCTCAACTCTTCAAGTCCAATTTTGGAATTGGGCTTTGAGCCTTATATGAGGGTTGGGCTTGAGCTCAAGATCTAGGCTAATGGTTGAGTTGTGTTTGACTCAAGCCCAAAAAAGCACTAGGCTTGACTTTTTTCCGAGTTAGGCTCAAGCTTTCTCAAAAACATGGCTTAAGCTTGAGCTCGGCCTTTTAAGCCCAACTTTGAAACTGGGCTTTGAGCCTTATATGAGCATTGGACTCGAGCTCAAGATCTAGGCCAATGGTTGACTTGTGTTTAAGCTTGGGCCCAAAAGCACTAGGCTTGACTTTTTTCCAAGTCGAGCTCAAGGTTTCTCAAAAACTTGGCTTAAGCTTGAGCTCAAGATCTAGCTAATGGTTGAGTTGTGTTTGAGCTTAGGCCCAAAAAGCACTAGGCCTGACTTTTTTTTTTTTTTTCGAGTTGGGCTCAAGCTTTCTCAAAAACTTGGCTTAAACTTGAGCTCAGCCCTTCAAGCCCAATTTTGAAATTGGGCTTTGAGCTTTATATGAGGGTTAGGCTCGAGCTCAAGATCTAGACCCAATGATTGAGCTATGTTCAAGCTTAGGCCTGAATGTAGTGTTAATAAGGAGGCAAAGCTTAGTTTGTAAACATATCCATGTGCAAGTAACCATTAACCATATATGATATATGCTATTTGGGGATTTAACTTTTATGATATGCATAAAGCTCAAGGTCAATATGCATATATAAATTTGGCATTTTCTATAATTCTTGAAAAACTTTAAGAAACCAGAAACCCACATGAATTTAAACAAATATTAGTTTTCTAGATATTAAACTAGGGATGCAAATGGATCGGATTAGATTCGAATTGGGGATGTATCCAAATCCGATTTGGTTATATAAATTCTAGATCCAATCCAAAGGTATGATTGGACCTCACAGACATTGATTTGAAACTGAATTCGACTAAGGGTATCGGATATTTGAATATGATTTGGTCTGATTTAATTTTGAAAAAAGCAATAAATTATTAAAAGAAAAAACACAACAACTTATAAAAACAGAAAAAATACAAGTATTTTTTTAACTATTTTTCATCACATATGTACATGTTTTTTATAGAAAATACAGCAATTCGATTTTTCAATCTGATCTTATTATCTAGTCCGATTTAATAAAAAAAAATCAGGTAGAAGAATACTCGAATCTAACAAAATAGGATCAAATTTTGGACCAATCCATTTTGCACCCCCTATATTAAACTTTTTTTTGCATATTTCCAAAACTGTAAATTGAGCCATGCCACCCACGGCCCGTGGGCAAGGCACGCCACTATTATATAAATTTATTTATATATTATAATTATATAATAATATATAGTATATAATATATTAATAAAATAAACAATTGTATATATCAAAATTCATAAAAAATTTAAGATTTTTTTTTCAATTTTTTAAATAAACCTTTCATAGCTTTGGCTCGATCAACAGTCCGACCTGGCCTAAGGCTCGGCCCATGGACCAACCTGGCATGGGCCGTGAGTTGTGCCGTATTGACCCTCCAAAATATCACATAGGAGGGAGACATGGCCTAGGATGGCTCACGGTCTAGCATGACACGACCCACACTTTGCATGAGCCGCAAGCAGGCTGGGCCATATCGGCCCAGCACGACCCATTTTACAACTCTACATATTTGTAGGGAGGATAATAAAAATGTACCCCCTGAGGTCTGATAACTCACTTGGCCTTTAATAGCTGCAAAACATAGAGGCGTCCTGCCATCTTGAACTAGGCAGAGCCGTCTTTTGGAATCAACCCATTCCCATTCCCATGGCAAAAAATCTTATTAATTCAATCAAGGTGCTCCATTTTCGGATGCAAAGTGAATTGGATTCTCGGGTTTGGGCTCTTGATCCACACCTTTCTTGTGCAAAATCAATGCATTTGCCGAGCAGTCCTGCCGTGCGTACCGCCTAGTCGATTTGAGAATAAGAGGCGGAGGCCACGGTGTCCCCGACGGATCAGGCCCGTACCCGCAATATTTCATGTAGAGAAGAGAAGTCAGAAAGCGGAAAGCCCCGCAGCCGCAAAATCCAAATCACATCTCGCGCAACAAATCGTGTTCGTAGATAGTCAATTTTACGTTTGGGTCGTTAGTTTACACATTAAATAAATACAAGAAGTTTGTCTGTCTGTCTCTCTCTATATACAACACAACTACAAATAGTACAATCTTCTTGGATCCTGACCTGGGTAAACGATCAATTTTAGACGCCTCGACCCAAAGTTGCAAGTTGCTTGCTTCCTACTATTACGAATTTTACTTCTAATGCTCACTGCCCTTGGCTATTTACGAGTCGTCGGATTGGAATGTTTTGTCGTACATGGTTGGGTTGTCGATTTGTCATCAATGTGATTCTTCGCAAAAAGAGATATTCAATGTTCCCAATTCCCAATCCAATTCCAAAGGTTTAACGAGGCTTATCCCATGGGATTTATATGAGAGTATGACATTGTTTTTACTCTCATCAATTTCCATTAAAAGAAGTTTCCAAAGTGGAGAGACTGACCCCGCAGCCTCTCCTCTCCTAGTAACAATGGTAATAACAAGGGAAAATTTTCGATTAATATCCTATAATTTGTGTAAGTGGCACTTTGGTCATTGAATTTTAAAATGCGATAATTTCAATGCATGTCAATTTAGTATTTATTGTAAATCATTCGTCAATTGACATTTGAAAAGACATAAATGCTTTTGAGTGTCATCTAATTTTTTTATCACTCATCCAAATGTTGAAAAAAAGTGATCAGTCCCAATTCTTTACCTCTTCTATTCAAGAAAGTTGGGGTCACTAGAATACCCACTGAAATGTGGTCCCAACTTTCTTGAATAGAAGAAAAAAAAGATTTGGGACTATTCATTTTTTGTCAACATTTGGATGGTTAATAAAGAAACGTAGATGACATTCGAAGGACATTTTTGTCTTTTCAAATGCCACTCAATGATTGGTTAATAGTAGTAGTGATGTCAATAGGTCAGGTTAAATGGTAAATTTGGCTTGATCCAACCTTATAGGGTCGAGTTAGGGTAAGGCATATTCGGTTTAGGATCGGGTTAGGGTTTTGATTCTTCAACTTGAGTCGTGTCGGGTTAGACCTGGTTTATGAATGACCTGTCCTTGATGTGTCATGATATCTCACATATATACAAAGTATTATTGTAACTTTTTGACTTCTAACTCTATAGCCTTAAAGTTAAGATTTGTTTATATATTGATTTTGGTTTTATTCTTTTTTTAAATGGGAAAAGTGACCTTAGAATCTATAAAACAATTTCACAACTTACATTAATGGATTTTAGGTATTGAAAACATGTTTAAAACATACAATTGAAATGTTACGGGTTTGGTCAAGTTGGTATCAGGTTAGACCATATAGTGTCGGGGGTCGGGGTCGGGTTGGTTTAAACCCAACCTGTTGACATCCCTAAACAGTAGGTACTGAATTGGCACATTCTAAAAGTCTGAGTACTGAATTGTTGCGTTTTAAAGTTCGGGGACCAAAGTGATACTAGGCCTAAAGTATAAGGTACTAATCGGGAATTTTTCCTATCATTAACTTGCCTGTTAACCGGCTGTTAAATAGTAGTTGAAAAGATACAAATGCCCTTCAAGTGTCATTTAATTTTCTTTATCAACAATACAAGCATTGATAAAAAAATGAACAGTCCAAAATTGTTGCATTTTTTATTTAAGAAAGTTGGGGTCACCAAAATGACCATTGAGACCTAATCCCAACTTTATTAAATAGAAGAAATAAGGATTTGAGACTGTTCATTTTTTGTCAATATTTGAATGATTGATTGTTAAAAAAAATTAGATAATACTTCAAAGGCATTTATATCTTTTCAAATGCTACTTAACAATTATAAGCACTAATGGGCACATTTTGAAAGTTTGAATACTGTATTTGGTAAATCAAAGTACATGGTAGTGATTGGTATATTTTAAAAGTTCGAGTAGTGAATTATCCTATTTTAAAGTCGGGGGAGCAAAGTATAGTCATCGGAAAATTTCCCTTTCAGTAATAACAACTGAACGAGTAACAGTGGGAGGGTGGGTTTTTCTAGCCTGCTTCTCCTTCACCTCTTGTTGTCAATATTTTACAAACTTAAAAAAAAGCGAAGTCGTCGTTTTTCCAAAGCGTAATACGACCGAAAGCAAATTTTTCCTCATCTCTCTCTCTCTCTCTCACTCGCCGTTTCATGTGTTAGTTGTTACCTGCGAGAGGAGCAAAAGAAGCCCTAGGTTTGTAAATCTGGTGCTTGAAATCGTTTCTCTTACTTGTTTGCACCTCCAGATCCTTTGGTTTTTGTTTTTTAACACTGAGGATTGATTTCTGAGGATCTACTGTTATGGCCGGTCGGTACGATCCCAATCCTTTCGAGGAGGAAGAAGAAGTTAATCCATTCGCAGTGAGTTTGTCTCTATGATCTTTGACTTATTGATCCTTTGTCCTTTCTACTCTTTTTCATCTTCTTCTCTTTATTATGCGCTTCTTTCTGATTTTCCAGACATGTTTTGACCATATGAGTTGAGGGAATTTTGTTGTGTGTTTGCTTTATTTAATCTGTATGTGAAATTTCAGGTTTCTGGATGTTCAATTTACTGTCCGTTTCATTTAGTTTTTTTCTTCTATCTGTTAAATTCGAGCACAAAAGAGATTTAGGCCGTATTTTGGTGTTTGCTTGTCTGGATGATGAGATCTGGTTTGCAAATCCACATTTATGATTTGGATTGTGTTTTCTCTTCTTCGCATTTCTGATTTGGATGATAATTCTGTCTTATGTGTCTAGTGGTTAGTGGATTAGTGGGTTAATGGGATATTATTTGTGTTAGTAGATTTAGAGTGTGAGATGGTTATTTTAGTTCTCTTGGATTTTATAAATTGATTGTGTTATTGAGTTTGGTTATGAACAAGAAAGGTTCTGTTTTAGGAGGCCAATCTCTTCCCATATTTGAGGTGCTTGTGAAATTCAGTCCTTGTATATCTACGGATCCATATTATTTGGTCACTGCTGGTTTACCCAGAGCCAGAGGATTGCTTCAAAGGTTTTTTTGTGCTCGCTTACACTTGTTTTTCTTCCCGTGTATGTTAACTGCTTATTGTGTTCGCAGAACTTTATAGGGGCCCTAAAATGGTTTATCATATTTTCTTGAGCAACTTCAAAGAAACAACTCTTTAGGAACTAAAGAATGCTGCATAATTGTAGAGCAATTTGCTTTAATTAGGTTTTGCCATCTAGGAGTAGTTAATGGGCTTTTTGGAGTCTACAGAGAAATTAAAGGCATGATTAACCATCCAGACAAACATTTTTTTTTAGTTATTTTTTCTTTAAATCTCAATATTGTATGATTGACCATCCAGACAAACATTTATTCATTAAATGTTGTACAACTATGTAGGTGAATATAAGACAGATTTTTTGTTACAAGGGCATTGACAATTATTATTTTTTAAAGAGCTTGACATTTTCAAATACCTGTTTTGTTCTTGCATATGGGACATATGTGGACGGTCTTATCCAGATAAAACTTAGCCGAGGACTTCGTATTCGTATCATTATGTTCATGGCTTCATGCTTTGTTTTCATGTACACACAAAATTGGTTAATGCATTTTTTTTTGAACAAAACATATGCTAGGCCTTTATGTGCACTTGTACATTGAACAAGATGATGGGGTGTTCTTGTCTGATCTCCTTTTTCTTTTTTTTTTCCTTTTTTTGATCTCTTTCTGGATTTAATTGTGGTATAGAATGTCTGATTTTTATGTGAAAAAGAACTTCTTCATTTTTTTCTTACCTTCTATATTGAACTATGCTAACTTTAACTTTAATCAACCTCCCCTTATATCTTTAACATCAGGATCCAGCTGCTAGGGGTAAAGCATCAGGTCAATCACACTATGGTGGAGGTGCATTTTTTACAACAGTAAGTTCCTTTCAATTTGCCCTGACATGTACTGGTTTTGGTTATAGAGAAATATAGCTGATATTATTGATGAATGTCCTAATTTTTTGCTCCATTGAGATATGTCTTGGAAATTATATTATTTAAATATTGTATGCTTAGCTTACGAGTTGCATTGTTTGGCTGTTTGATTGACCTTAGGGGTTTATTTATTTTTGATAACTGATATCATTGTAATGTATTGTATTAAAATCAAAAGGAGAGTGAGGGGCTCTCAACCATATACAAAAAGAATGCCTGTAAATATGCACAGATCATGTATCTTGGAAAAATATTAAGCGTGTGTTTTGTTCCGTGGGCGTTTATCAAAATGCTACCATTTCATCGCCAAATCAGCATTTTTCTCATCATATTCATCCGTACACATTGATATTCACAAAAGTTGGGTTTTGATTTATGTGCACACCAACCGTTGGGGGAAGCTTCATTTTAACGCTTCCCTCTATGGTTGAGCGTTTATTAACTGTTCTGCTGATGTGGTGCCTAGTGGTCCATAAACGGTTTATCAAGTACTTTTCTCAGTTTTGAAGACAAATCAAGTACAAACGTTTACTTATTAAATGGAAGCTATACCAACCACATACTAAATATGTTGACCCTTGGGAAATTGAGGAATAAGACTGCATGTTCTATTATGAGACTATAGGCCCACCATATCATCATTTTACAGTTCTTATATATATATATATATATATATATATATATATATGATGTAAAATTATAGAGGTGCATACAGAGGAAAAAAGTCCCCCCTATTCCTCCATACAACTAGAGAAGCCTTGGTGTTAAAAGGACATATTCTTAGATCTAGAAGGTACTAATGTTTCTTGAAGTGCAACCAGAAAGTGCTCTGTTTCCATTTTAAATAATAGAAAATTATCTGCTGCTACAAATACGAGGAGAAAAAAAAAGGAGATTGACCACTAGACCATGTCAATCTGCTAATTTAATAGGAAAACTGATGAACTAATTTCTGTTAATGGGATCCTGAACTTCCTCATGAGAGTAGATATTGAGTTCCTTTTTTTTTTGTTTCGCTGACCACCTTTCTTATCAACAACCAGTATGAGAGAAAAGGAGGGAGGAATATGGGGGGATAACAGCATAAGGTGTAGGGAGGGGAGGAACATAAGGTGTTCACCATCTCGAGGCAGTGACTTTAACTCCTATAAGTAAAAGAAGGCAAACCATTCATCTTTTATAATCTTAGAACTTACAGAAAAATAAAATCTACCCAACATCTCACTCTCCTTCAAATGAGTCCTTGGACCCCAATAAACTTTGCTACACCACTAAAGAGTGACTGGACTGGCAGCCCAATCCAATTTCCCAGCTTTGCTTTAAGCACCTATGTTTTCAAGCGTAGGATCGTGGAAAATGCACAAATAGTTTTTGGTGTTTTTAGTAGCAAACGTATTTATCATGCTTCTACAATTATGCTTTGCTTATTAAGTAAACTATGCCTTAACCTTATTCTATTTACTTTCTAGAATCCTGGAAGTGTTCCTTCTGCCACAAATTCAAGGCTTTCGCCTCTTCCACCTGAGCCTGCAGATTTTAACTATGGCCGTGGTGCAACAGTTGATATTCCTCTTGGTACAGAAAAGGTGAGTGCAATTTTAAGGAAGGTGAAGAGGTTAAATCATATATGCTATTTAGTGTTGGTCAAATAAATTTTATTTTCTTTAATTACCTTTTGTATAAATTTAGGATTTAAAAAAGAAGGAGAAGGAGCTTCAAGCTAAGGAGGCTGAATTGAGGAAGAGAGAACAGGTACTTGTCTTACTTCATGTGAATAGAAATCATGGAAGTAATGATATATTTATGTTTAGTAATTGCTGATGGATTTCTCACCACTTTTTGCTGTGTTTGTATGAAGTTATGATTTGAGTTTGTGAACTATTTTGAGGGACATTCATTTATTTAAGACGTTTCTGGAGATACATGATGTGTTATTACAATTTTGAGCATTTATTGCAATTGGAAAATCCATATTATATATACTTGTATCTATAAAGCAGATCAGAACCTTATTAGAAGACAAAGAAATATTAGTAATACAAGAAATATAAGGGCATTCCACCTCCCACAGTGGTGATAGCTGAGTTGAAGGACTAACCCCCAAAATAACAATATTGCAAGGACTGTGATGTATAGCACCAAGCAGAGTTGGCCCAAACCATGCATGATAAGCTTTCAGAGTCATGCTTGAACTGAATCATGATCAATAGCATTGAGAGATACATCAGTCATAATTAGAAGGCATGAAGAGAAGCTTAATTAGACCAACATGCAAGCTAGATTATTTGTTGTCACATTGATTATGATTGTCATAAAGTATAAATGACAAAGAATTTGGAATTTATTCTAAAGTATTTTGAAAGGTGAAACTTTATTAAAAGAAAAAGGACTCCCTGCAAATACAACATTATTCTAAATTCATACAATAAAACAACTAAGGGTTTCTGGCATGTGAAGAGTAGGTGGTAGGTGATTGTGGTAGATTTATGGGATGTGAGATATCCAATTCACCAATAGAATCCTGTGATTGACCACTTCGTCAGGAAGCTATTGCCATGGAAGAAGAACCACATCTATCTACAAGGCAGGATTCTTTGATAAAATTGACTTTATCTAACTTGCTGGTACTGCTTCTCTGTTTTTAAGGTTCCCAGTTCCATGTTGGTGTAAAGTGTGAGGATCATTAGAGATTTCTTGTGGGAGCTTGGAGCTAAAAAGAGGGAGTTAATGAATATAGTTTGTAAAGATAAAGGAGGTCGGTGCTAGACGATGGAAGGTTGGAGATAGAAATACCTCAATATTGGCCAAGTGGTTGTGGAAATTTTCTTTGGAAGCAATGGGTTCTCCTATTATATTATGAAAAGCATTGATTGCATGAGTTCAAATGATTGTAATATGGGGCTTACTAGGAGTTCCATTATGGACAATGGACTCCACCTTGGGCCTCGAGTTACATATATGTCCCATTTTGTGGTGTCAAAATGAAATTCTGGGTGGACCTTTTGGGAGGGTTCTCCACTTTGTGCCCATTCTCCTAACCTTTATGCCATATCCTGTTTCAGATTGCTTCCTGTTGCATCTTGAATGGCGAGGCCCAAGTTGGGTTTCTCCTGGCATTTTGGTTTCTTTTGATCTCTTCCTCCTGGCATCTTGACAAACTCTGGGATTGCCAAGGTTTAGTCTTCTAGCAGACAAATTATCCACTAGATTGAGCCCCACCTATCTTAGGTGCAGTCAAGCTGAATATTGATGGTTGCTCATTGGGGGAATCCAGGGCAATTGGGGATGGAGGTGCTTTTAGAAACTTTTCTGGGTGAGGTACTCCTGGTATACTCTGGGTTGATTGGCCATGGGCCCTTTGTTAGAACTGAGATATTGGTATTTCTTCATGTATTGAGGTTGATAGTTTAGTGGAGGAAGAGATAGTGATAGGGCATATAAGAGGTGGAGGGTGGGGGAGGCTAGCTACATTATCAGATTCAGGAAGATAGGTCTTTGAGACCACAGCGACATCTTGTTCTGCATTGTTTTCAAGATGTTACCTAGGTGTCAAGTACGCTGCCTGGGCGACAAAATTTTGGTGGGTGCTTTATTATGATATTATTACTATGGTTGCATTATATTATTATTATTGTTGTTGTTGTTGTTGATGATATACTCTATCATGTACTAAATACTATTTAGTATTTACATTTTGTTTTAGGGTATTACTGTTGTATTGGAACTTGGAAGTATAGGGGATCAGGAGAAGAATGAAGGCAACAGGGAGGAGGTTCTTAGTGCTGGTTTGCTCATCGTTGATGAAGGGGTCAAGTTTAATGCAACTTCTAATTTGATTCCAATTAATCATGTAGAAGGTATTGACAATTCTTTGTACAAGGAGGTTGATGGGGATGATAACCAAAGCCTGGACAAGGGTAAACCTGAACCACATCAAACCTCTGGGCAGGGTGTCTGTAAGGAATTAGTGAAGAATCTTCAAGAGCTTTCAGAGGGATTCCAGGAGGGGTTCATTGACAGATTATTGGGAGTAATAAAAAAGTATTAACAGAGACAGGAGGCTCTTTCCAACAAAACTTTAATGGCAGTGATAGTATTATCCAACCAAATTTATAGGGAAGGACAACAGAGCCTTTAGGTCTAGCTGCTGGCCTGCTGCCTCTACTCATCCCACAGTTTCAGGTACTGTTTTCATTTCGGTTTTAGATACTAACTCCTGTTCTATGTTTGTTAGTCTTTCTCTAGGTTCCCAGCCTAATGCAGAGCTGCAAGCCTCTGTTGGTACTGTGCAGACCACTATTGTGAGGGAAGAGGGAGAGTAAATAGAGTGTGGTTGGATGGTTTTGAATAGCTGATTTATCACATTAGTTAAAAGACTAGTTCAAGAGCAAATTTGAATTGGAGGAAATAAGGGAGGCTGTTTTTTCTATGGACAGATGTAAAACACCAGGGCCGGATGGGTTTATAATGGCTTTTTATCAAGATTGTTGGGATATTTTGAAAGAGGACTTGTAGGACGTTTCCAATGAATTCTTTGGGAGAGGGATAATAAATCCAGGTTTAAACTCAACCTTTATTGCTTTGGTGTCTAAAAAGTCTGATGCAATTCATCCTGGAGAGTAGATCCATTAGCCTAGTGAATACCTTATATAAAATAATTGCTAAGGTTTTGTCTCTAAGGATCAGGGTAGCTCTCCCTATTACCATTTCTTTTAATCAAGGGGCCTTTGTGAAGAATAGGCAAATCACTAATCAAATTTCAATTGCGAGTGAAAGTGTGGTGGAGATGAAAAAAGGAGAGAAATGATTAATATTCAAATTGGATTTGGAGAAAGCTTATGATATGGTGGATTGGTCCTTTTTGTTGGAAGTGATGAGAAGCTTTGGATTTGAGGAGAGGTGGTGTAAGTGGATAATTGGGTGCATTAGAACTTGTCATTATTCCATACTAGTGAATGGAAAACTGTGGCGGACTTCATTCTGGCCTTAAGAAGAATTAGACAAGGGGATCCTCTCTCCCGAGCAAGGTTTAGCTGAACGCTTTAGCTGTTCAGCAGGCTATGTAACCAATGATAAGGTTCCATGCCAGTATTAAATATATGGGGCCCACATCTTTTACAGTGGGGCCTATGAATTTAATACTGGCATGGAACCTCATCATTGGTTCCACAGCCCGCTGAACAGCTAAAGCGTTCAGCTAATCTAAATTCCTCTCTCCCCCTTCATTTTAACTCTAATTATTAGGTAGATTCACGAGGCCTAGTGAGGGGTTGGAAAGTTGGTCAAGATGGGATTTCAATCACACATTTGCAATTTGTTGATGACATAATCTTGTTCTATGAGGGAGGGGATAGAAGGTGGGGTAGGAATTTGAAATTAGTAGATGACATAATCATAGTTGTTTAGTGGAAATTAACATTGGAGGAAAGGGAATTGGTAGAGAGTGCATGCATTTTAGGATGTGTGGTGTCTCAATGGTCTTTGAAATATTTAGATTTATCTTTGGGAGACAATCCAAAGAGTAGTAGTTTTTGGGCCCATTGTAGAAAGGTTTGCTAAAATGCTTGCCTGTTGGAAGAAAAATTACCTTTCTTTGGGAGATGGGATTACTTTGATCAAATCCACCCTAGCTAACTTGCCTGTGTAATATGAAGACAAGTCAAAGACCATTGATCTTTTGGTAACTGTAGTGTGTGATCTGATATCAGATTGGGTTCTATAGCTTCCAGAGTTCGATAAAGTGAACAAAGCTGATTTGTTAGAAAACTTTTGGAGTACTCTTGAGTTGCATCCCTGTAGTGAAGATTTATTTTCAGTTTGAGTGGTGTATCTTTGTTTGGTTTGTCAACTTGACAACCAAATGTTTTGTATTGTACCTCTTTTTCAGTTTACTGAAAATTTTCTATTGATCCTTCAAAAAGAAAAACTTGCCTGTGTAATATGCTTGTCTTTAAGATGCTAGAGGGGGTGGGGAAGAAATTGGAAAAGATGATGAAGGATTTCTTGTGGGAGCTAGGTGCGGAGAAAAATGATCATAGAGTTTGATGGGAAGTAGTTAGTACTTGGTAGAAGTAAGGAATATAAGGGTCTAGGGTTAGGAAATTTGTAGAAGTGTGGCTTTGTTGGGCAAATGGTTTTGAAGACTACCTGAGAATAGGGACAGACTATGGGAAAAGGTTATTGTGAGCATTCACGGGCATGTGGCGGATGGTTGGGATGTAGGAGTACTAACTAGGCCACAAGAGCTTCTTCTTGGAAGGTCATCCATGCTATTCTACCTTCTTCCTTACTATGTATCAGGTATGATCTATGCTCTGGTAATTTGATAAGATTTTGGGAATATGTCTGAGTGGGGGATCTTGCTTTGAAAGATAAATTTCCTTCTTTCTTTGTTCTTTCAAGATACAAAAATGAGCTTCTTTCTACTTTCCTGGTTCCTTCTAGTTCAAGCACATGTTTTGATAGGGATTTGGGCCCAAGAAAGGGTCTAAGGGCTTTGGAATTAAACAATGTCTTGAATTTGCTTCATATGTTTGAAGGGGTTTTCTTGGATTCTTCCAAACTTGATAGTTGAATTTGGACTCACTCCTCCATTAGTACCTTTTCTTGTGCTTCCTTTTTCATGGTCTTAACTCTTAGATAGTTTGGGGCAACCTTTCCTTCCCTGTTAAGGAGGTTTTGTGTAAACCTATCCCTCCCAAAATTGGAGGTCTATGTTGGGAAGTGTTCTTGCAAATAATAAATACTTGCGA